ATATATATATATATATATATATATATATATATATATATATATATATATATATATATATATATATATATATATATATATATATATATATATTTTTGGCGCGCGGTTTTCATTTCAGGCGCTGCACTTTTCATTTTCTTTGTTTTTTTTTTAGGGGAAAAAAAAAGTAAAAAAACATGCAGTGAACCTTCCAGCAGAAAACGGAAATGTACACCGCAATCATCCATGCGTGTCAGGGGCAGAGGATTTAGGCATGAAATCCGGTGGCACCTGCAGTTACGTTTTCATTTTTTTTTTTGCAGAGTAAAAAAAAAAAAAAACAAGAATGAAGTGAGGCCCACCCTGTACTACCGGTAGGCCGAAGGTGAAATACTAATATCGGCCTACCGGTCCCCCTTACTTTACGATGTCGGGGGTAGCGGTGGTTTAATCCATGCAAGGGGGACCTTGCCTCAGGGGCCTGGGGCCAAGTCCCACTCATCCATATCCTTCATTTCTGCCCCTAGATTGCAGAGGTCGACGGTCAGAAATGAAGAAGTTTGGCAAGTGGGACTTGGCTCCTTGTCCCACCTACCTGTATCCTTTGTTTCGGCTTTTTTTAATATTATTATTCTTATTATTATTATTCTTATTCTTATTATTATTATTTTACTTTTCTTTTACAAGGGTAATGCAAGGGGGATCTTGCCCCAGATGAAGAGTTGAAAGCACTTGGAAGGAAAAAAAGAGGGAAAATTGCATCTGTACCCCACTTAAAGATGGGAATACCGGCTATACGCAGTCCCAGGGCCAACTTGCATCCATACGGGAAAACGGCGGGTGAGATTTTTTGAATGCCCAGGACTGAGGTGGACCAAGGTGATACCGCAAAATTGCAGCTATAACCAGCTACCTGAATGCACAAATTGTGGACATAGCCAGGCAAAATTATGGGCATACGCGGGACTGAGATGGAGCAACCAAATTATCCATATACCCTACTACCGGGTGGCTGAAGTTATGCTCATACCTTGTCCTTCGGGACATCCGGCTGTTGTGGCACAACGGTCCACTTGGTGGGCATGAGCATACTCTCGTGGTCAGCCATCCACCAGTGGATACACCCAAGGTCCACTTGGTGGGCATGAGCATAATCTCGTGGTCAGCCATCCAAGGGCCACAACGGTCCACTTGGTGGGTACACCCACAATTTTGCCAGCCCCGTTTCTGGACATCAGCATAACTTCGTGGACTAGAACCGGGGGGGGGCTGGGTACGCCTACAATTTTGCTCCGGGAAAAGTTGGGTATATATGCACATGTGCACTAGGACTGGGTATGGCGGGTATTCCCATCTTCAAGTGGGGTACAGATGCAATTTTCCTGAAAACAAAAGACAGCTGGACTTTGTTACTTTACTGTGAGTCAGGGACTAAACCCGGTTAACGAAGGATGCAAGAGGGATAACTTAGTTTTTTCTTGACTTTCTTAACGAAGGATGCAAGAGGGATAACTTAGTTTTTTCTTGACTTTCTTGACTCCTTTCCTATTCCGGTAAGTGAAGACGTCGCTTTGGTCGTGTCAGGAGTCGGGACGGTAGTTGAGACACGTGGCAATTTGGCAATGGAATGCCAGAGGTGAAAATTTGAGCTGAGTCTCAGCTGACGTTTGCGCCTCATCGGGCTGCCACGTGTCACGTTGAAAGAGAGACAGAGTCGACGGACGGAAAATGGCGGGAATCGCAACAAAAGCAGCATCCACGTGGAACGTGCAAATCGTTGTCGGGAACCGCGGACACGTGGCATGTAGATGTCGCTCCACGTCAGCGGCCGAAGTGCGCGTCCCGACGAGGCGGAGACACCTGGACAGAGGCGATGGCATCGTGGCTCGGGCGCCTAAGCCTTCATCGGCATCTTCGTTGTCGTTGATTTCCATGGCATCACCGAGAGAAGACAGGAAGTCCGACAGAGATGGTGGAGGTGGTTTTGGGAGAGGCTGGAGGGTGACCAGCCAACGCCATCGCTACCCTCCAGTGACCGGAGCTCGGATTGGCTGTGGTGACAAGTGTGCAGCCATCGATCGCGATGGCCGTTCTCTGCAGGGAGGAGGAGTAGGAGTAGGAGGAGGAGGAGGAGGAAGAGGAGGAGGAGGGAGACGAGCAGGAGCAGGAGCAGGTGGTCTTCATGTGCGCTGGCATTTTCTGGCGGGAGGGTGCAGAGGGAGGGGGAGAGGTGATTCGTGCTGCTCCGGAGCGTTGCCACGTGGAACTCCAGTGGCAATCACCGGCCACGTGGCTTCTCCTCGCTGCTTGAACCATCAACCAGACGAGGGATCGAGCCCGTGTAATGATAAGCGATTCGACTCCGCGAGCAGGTTGGTCGGGGACATCCAAGGGAGGGCCGAGGAAGTTCACAGTACTGTCGAGAGACAGAGGGAGGTGGAGGGTGTGTCTCTTCAAGAGAAAGACAGGAGACCGACGGCAGTGCCGGACACGTGGTGCAGAAGCCGTCTTCCGAGGAAGCTTGTGGTGGCCGTTGCCAGTGCTCTCTTGGTTGCTACACCAACTCCTGATCTGGTTCTTCTCTGGCTCACAACAGGACACGTGGCATCCTTCGCTGACATGTCTGCAATTGCTGGACCATTGGATCGACCCGGTCAGGTGAGGAAAAACTCACAACCAGCTAGCTTGAAGCAGCGCCCTTCTACACACACACACACACACACACACAGAGAGAGAGAGAGAGAGAGAGAGAGAGAGAGAGAGAGAGAGAGAGAGAGAGAGAGAGAGAGAGAGAG